GTATCGTGACACATCGGCACAAAAGCTCCAAAATCCGACCACCTTTCTACATCTTCCATTTCCACCCTTTTCGGGGATTTATTCAGACTTAAAGAACTTTCCTAAGACATAATCAATATAACTATAGGATAAAGTCTAGTCAAGATAAAACGCCGTTATTTTAACGCTCTTTCAGTCGCAACGGAGGATCAACTGTACTAATTAATAGATGTTCGCAAGACTTATATTTCGAATATTCCATTGACATACCATGCTTTAGAATCAAATGTTAACTTTTTACTTGCAAAGTTTGACATTCAATTGTATGGTAAGACTACAGCAAATATTATTTGAGTCAAAACGTTGTTTGATGAAGAATGTTTAAATTATTGTTCGATTTGCATCGACAAATTACGATATTCACAAATTTCACATTATTTACACTTGTAAAGCATACAAATTGTTAATATGGTTTTATGAACAACCTTGTGCCGAAACTTCACACCCTATACGAGTTTATGGGTTGGGTGGTGGTCGTTCGTTATGGCAAGTCACGCAGATATCTTTGATCTGACCTTTCGTACTAGCGTGCTGAATAATGCAAGCCTATAGTAGATCCGCAAGAGCCGCGTCTTTTTTGGGGTCTAAAACCAGAACCATACTATCAAAATTGAGACTTTTCCGAGGGCGATAATTTCTTCTGCAAACAAATGGTAGAAAAAGCTAAGACAGGGGAGCTTTGAAAACCCATTTTGTCATTTAAACACAAAATCTCATATTTGAGAGGGCAGCTTTGGGGGAAACAAAAAAGTTTAAAAGATGGGTCAGATATTACCTCCACAGCCTTTTTCTAAGGCTGTAGACAGTGATTTAAAAAAAAAAGAGATTGTGGATTTATGCAGACACAATTAAACTAACTTGTTACAAGGTCATGAAGATACACAAGGGAGTAGGCGGTTTCTCCGGGTTTGTAACTCATACATCTAGACTTTCAATTTTCAGAAAAATTATTTTGAAACCAATTCAATTGCAAAATCACTAAATCCTAATAATTGTTTTTAATCAACTTAATACATTCAATTCATTGGTTTGTACGCTGATCATTTTCTGCTATCAGTCACTTAAACCCGCGTAATTAGTTAAAAAGATGTCAAACTCTTGCTTAAACTTTTTTTTCTAAAATATTGTAAAAACTTGTGTCGAATTTGTAAAAATGTGAAACTTGAGCAATATTAATAGGATAGGGTCCATATCTACTGCTGCTGATAGCCTTCTGTCACAACTTCATGAAATATTCAACATTTCAAGTTTCGAAAAATAATTCTTAAAAATCATAAAGGCAATGAGCGGTTCAATTTGGAGCCCAAAAAAAATTCTCGTCAGAATTCTTACATTGCTAGCACACCACTACAGTGTTGAGAACTTTGAACTTTGTAAAGTGTTTTAGAGCTAAGTATTTGAAATTTTACGAAAAATCATAAGACGGCAAACCTTAAAAACTAAGGTAGTTTCAGCAGTGGATTTGGAGGCAGGTTTTGCAATCACTGAGAATATCTTAAAAGCAACCCACTGAAACGTTCAAATAAGGTTCTATAAGAAACTTCAAATTTTGTAATCAAATTTTGTACCTTGTAAAACTTGAAATTAAAGATTTTTGAAAAAAAAATAGAAAAACTGTCATATCTCGAGATCAAAAACAATTTCAGCAGTCCCAATTGGAGGAAAGATTTGCAAGTGAAATTCCAAATTTGTGAAAACTAGTATATCTAAGTTCATTGAAAATTTTTTGAAAAAATCAAAAAAAAACGCAATAGTCAGAAAGAGAAAAGCATTCGAGCAGCGACATTTGGAGACAAGAATTGTTTTTGTTCAACATATTACATTCAATTCATTGGTTGGCACGCGTATCATTTGCTGCTATCAGTCACTTAAACCAGCGTAATTAGTTAAAAAGATGTCAAACTCTTTTCGCTTATATTAATCTTTTTTCTTAAATATTATTAAAACATAGGTCAAATTTTTAAAACTGTGAAACTTGAGCAAAATTAATAGGATAGGGGCCATATCTGCAGCTGCTGATAGCCTTCGGTCACAACCTCATGAAATATTCAACATTTCAAGTTTCGAAAAATAGTTCTGAAAAATCATAAAAGTTCATATCTTAGGAAAGTAAAAGGCAATGAACAGTCCATTTTGGAGTCCAAATGAAAAATCTCGTGAGAATTCCTACTTTGACAGCACACCACTGTGTTGAGAACTTTGAACTTTGTAAAGTGTTTCAGAGCTAAGTATTTGAAATTTTACGAAAAATCGTAAGACGGCAAACCTTAAAAACTAAGATAATTTCAGCAGTGGAATTGAAGGCAAGATTTGCAACCAATGAGAGTATAATAAAAGCAACCCACTAAAAAGTTCAAATAAGGTTCTAAAAATTTTTTAATCAAGTTTTGTAACTTTGTAAAACTTGCAATTAAAGTTTTCTGAAACAAATAGAAAAACTGTCATATCTCGAGATCAAAAACAATTTCAGCAGGCACAATTGGAGGAAAAATTTGCAAGTAAAATTCCAAATTTGTGAAAACTCTTATATCTAACTTCATTGAAAATTTTTTGAAAAAATCAAAAAAACGCAATAGTCAGAAAAAGAAAAGCACTTGAGCAGTCACATTTGGAGACAAGAATTTGGACGCCTGAGAGTACACTGACAGTAACAAATCAAATGGCTAAAAACTTCAAACTTTAGTGAAGGTTCTTAAATCTAAGTTTTCTGAAAATTTTGAAAAATCACAAAAAATGTCATATCGCGGAATCCAAAGGCACTTGAGCAGTTTTTTTTGAAGGCAACATATTTGCGAAGTCTGAGAACTCCCTGACGGCACCCGACTACAGGGTTGGACTTAGAAATTAGAAGAACGTTGTTTTAAGATTGGTTTTTCAAAAATATATCTAAGAAATTTAAAAAAAACTGTGCCAGTATGAAGTTTTTTCTTAATGAGCAATTTTTTAAAAAAGTTTCAGCTCTTAAACGAAAACTACTTCACGTTTTTTTGCTTCATTTCAGTATTTGAGAAAAAAAAACATTTAGCAGAAATTTTTGAATGGAGTCAAAGTTTGAATGGATAAATAAATTTTAGGTCAAACTTGAGCGGGAAAAAGCTGTAAAATTTTATATTACAAAGATGAAATAAAAGAATTTCGATCAGTAAAGCACTTAATTGTAAAATAGGGATAACCAAAATTTTATTCACATAAAGTTCCATGAGAAGTGAGTGTATCTTGATGCAGGAAAACACGCTTGAAGTATTTCAATTTGAAGCCTGGAAGCCCGGCCAATCGCAAGAAAAAAGAAATCAGTATTCAAATTTTTTCATTCAAATAGCTCAACTTGTTGACAACTATTGCTTTATGAAGACTCTAGAAACTTACAATAGAAGGCTTCTACATTAGAAAGCTTCGCAAACTATTGCAAGAAAACGGCAAAAAAGCAGCTCGGCATAAATTGAAGAAAACAAGAAATAAGCTCAGAATTATGATTTCTTTCACTTGTTGGATTTGAACGTGCGACCTTGAGATTTTGAGTCTAATGTTCTTCATTCTCGGCAACTGACGAAAAGATTATTCAGAAAACACTAGCCACAAACAGCGCAGAAAACACATGCTATGAAATCTCCTATCCTTAAGATTGTGGTTCTAGCAAAAGTACCTACAAATGAGCACAGTTATTTGCGATTTATATTGGAAAAATAGAGTCATACTAATACATGACACTGGCTAGCTGGCAAGTGTAGGAGTCACGAACTTACTTGCCTTGCGTTTTCAAAAGCAAGTGTAGTGGAATCGCGATCCATGCGTAGTGGAAACGCCGTTTTCTATTTTGTTTTTCGATTGGATGAGGCCATGTTTTAAGCTGTGAAAACATTTCTATAACACAAAAATGAAGCTGCGCTCCGCAAACACTAGTAAGAACACGACAAAAAGCAACTATAGGTTTCTAAAAAGCAATAAAAATAGTAAAAATAAGCCTCGAATTAGTAAAAACTCGTCGATGTCTCGGACACGAACCTATGACCTACTTAGACATCGAAATTATGAGTCTCACGCACTACCAACTAAGCCACGGACGATTAACCTACTACAAACACTAGCCACTAATAAAGCCGAGAACAGATGCTATGAAACTTCCAATGCTACAGATCGTGACTATAGCAAAAATGTACACAAGAGAACATTTTTAATAGCCACTTTTATTTGCAAGTTAGGTTAGAAAAAATAAGGTTCATACTAAACACTAGCTGCTGGCTATATTAATCAAAGAAATCGTGAACAATGGTCTAATAAAATCATTAAATTTTCATTCACAGCTTTCAATCATTATTAAGAAACTTTTCGGCTAGATGTTGCAGCGTTAGGAACAAAACGCTTCAATTCGGGTCAAAAATTATTAGGCGAAACTTTCCTTCGGATTTTTCCCTTGCAGTACATTTTTTCAAAATTTGTTGGTTTGTATGCAACCTTAAAATTTATCGCATAGCCCAGTTGCCACGGCTGCTTAATGAAATTTTGAAAACCGAAATTAGAGCAAAAATGTAAATTTCATGGCACGACAGTCAACGAAAATCACTCAAAGACATTATGGCCATCTCAAATTTCTTACGCCTTTTGCAGTTCGGGACAAAGGCACTCAGCAGTGGCAGGGCAACACCTGAAGTTCTAGACGCAAAAAACTACCTCGAGTCGCAAAAAAGAGCACTCGACAAAATCAGTCTGGAATGTGCGGAAATAAAAGAAACGGGTTAGGCTTAGACAGGCCTGAGAGCCTTTCATAGCTTGCTAGCCTGATACTCTGCAAATCGCAGACACCACAATAAAAATTTTTTCATGAATCTTCTATGCAGCTTCTAATAATAAATTTAAAGCCGCATTGCTCTAACTCTATGATGTCACAGTAAGTCCAACGTATTCGAATTGGTTCCTTGATTTTTGTTTTACGTTTCGTAGATACTATTATCGTTAACACCTACCTCTAAATAAGGATACTGTTCGGCCGTGCAAATCCGAATGATGTTGTTCAGTCGTGTGTCAATAGGGTAAACAGGTGTCTCGTAAATAGTATCGTGACACATCGGCACAAAAGCTCCAAAATCCGACCACCTTTCTACATCTTCCATTTCCACCCTTTTCGGGGATTTATTCAGACTCAAAGAACTTTCCAAAGACATAATCAATATAACTATAGGATAAAGTCTAGTCAAGATAAAACGCCGTTATTTTAACGCTCATTTAGTCGCAAGGGAGGATCAACTGTACTAATAATTAGATGCTCTCAAGACTTATATTTCGAATATTCCATTGACATACCATGCTTTAGAATCAAATGTTAACTATTTACTTGCAAAGTTTGACATTCAATCGTATGGTAAAACTACAGCAAATATTATTTGAGTCAAAACGTTGTTTGATGAAGAATGTTTAAATTATTGTTCGATTTGCAACGACAAATTACCATATTCACAAATTTCACATTATTTACACTAGTAAAACATACAAATAGTAAATATGGTTTTATGAACAACCTTGTGCCGAAACTTCACACCCTATACGAGTTTATGGGTTGGGTGGTGGTCGTTCGTTATGGCAAGTCACGCAGACATCTTTGATCTGACCTTTCGTACTAGCGTGCTGAATATTGCAAGGCTATAGTAGATCCGCAAGAGCCGCGTCTTTTTTGGGGTCTAAAACCAGAACAAAACTATTAAAATTTGAAAAAACATAAAACCACTGATTTTACCATTGGAACGTGTTCTTAGACTGACGACTCTAAAGAAAATAATTCACTGAGTTTTTTCTTTCATTCCAGCAGTCCGAAGAACCTACGCCTGGAAAATTTTAGTAAATTCGTGGAAATGCGAAGCGGAGCTTTGCACCACTTGCAGCCCAATGTTCGAAAAGATGGTACCAAAACATTCGAGCTTGAGCCATAAAAAGTATTTGTAAAAAAAATATATTTCAAAGCCTCGAAAAGAACTGATTACCGTAATAAGAATTAAGTGCAGTCGTTCAAGACGCAGTGCCTCATTTGACCATTACACTAAGCAGTCTGCTACCCACTCATTTCATGTTAAAAAAATCAGTTCTGCAAGCAAAGTTTCATACGGGAAATAAGTCGAGTACCCGATTACAATACCATTGCCGCTAATCACAAGGGCGACTATTTGTATTTAGGTCATTTCATCTTCTTCGATGTTACTTAATTGAGTGTCTTATATATTGGCTCAAAATTATAGAAACAGTGAAAGATTAAACAGGAAAAGACAAATGAATAGAAAGATAGTGGTATAGATTCCATACTTCTCCGCCATATTCGGGTCACTCTTTTCGGAAGGCTTACTAGAACAGTAGATCAACCAATAATCGCTTTTCTATTACATAACCAACAAGATTGATGGCATTAGGACGACGCCCTAAATGTTCCCACTGCCCTTCAACGTTTATGGAAAAGTGTTCAATTTTTAAAGTAATGAAAATTTTGTTTAAAAAATAGAAAAACTCAAAAAGACATTTTTTTCGAATACACCAGGTTCTCCAACGAATGTTGAACACCAAAAATCTCATTATCAAAACTGAAAAAAAAATCCATATAAAAGCGTCTTGTTTCTGTCTTTTCATTCATTAATAAGGGGATGCGGATAAAAACTATGGTTTTCAGATATAAGGCTAGAACACCAGCACTGGTAACTTACTTTACAGGGGGACTGCTCAATTGATCCCTCAAACCGCATGATTTTGGCCGGAAAATAAATTAGACGAAAAGGAATTTTTATTACCCGAAGAAACAAATCGAGTGCTTTTAAAAATTAGATTAGATTATTTTGCTCCTGAATGAATAGCTAAAAAAGCAGGAGGCGGTTTTTCGAATTTTTGCTGCCCTTTTTTGTAGGTTGCCCGATTTCATTTTCTGAGCTCTCCCAAAATAGTATAAGGAGGCTCGGCAGGCAAATTTCAGCTCGGCAGGCAAATTTAAACGAAAAACAGCCCAAAAAAGGTAATTTAAGTCACTTTTTAGAAAAAATGCCTTTTTTTCGGCGCGCGCTCCCCCTCAAAATTAATCATATTGGCGCCCAAGCCACTTTTAGAAAATTTTTGAGGTTGTTCAGCGAAAAATGGATGTCATAAAGTTATATCACAGGGAGACACTTTGGAAAAATTTGGTAGCCAGAATTGAGGGAGGGGGGGGGGGCAGTCGCCCCCCACCCTCGGCACGCTACTTACCACAGGTATAATATCTTTTTAGATTTGAGCTCAAGACATCACCAGCTTTCAAATGATACAAAAAAGCCCGTCAAAATTGCTAATAAAAAAATTAAGACAAAATTTGCTGGAAGAAAAAACCACTCCGAGTCAAAATACTCAGTCGGAACAGTAATCTGCACAAAAAACTTCTTTTCATAATAAACTTACTTTTAAAAAAGTATCTGTACAACTGAAATTCATGATGTACCTGTCTGCGCATTACCACTTGTCTTTTCCATATCAGCTCTCAATTCTGACGTCACTTGCGTGAACAGAATATTCCAGTCCCATTTCCGATCATCCTCGACCACCTCCGCCTCCGGACTGAGAGCCAGTCGAGCCAGAGTCTTCAAGTCTATTTCATTATCCAGTGTGTATATTGCAGAATGCTTTTGAAGTGCGTTTTCTAATTCGTTCATACTCGCAATTTGAACTGAGGCTGTTGGCGCAGCTGAGATTTTATTGGAGAATTCTTTTTCTTGCATGTCCTCTAAAAGAGAACATTTTGACATTCTGACATCATATCGAAACCTAACTAATAAATTTTAACAAACCAACAACAGCTCACTGGCTAAACTTGTAGCCAACGGATCGTAACTACACTTTTTTGCCTTCCTGAAAGAGTGCGCGTTCAAGCAACACATTCTTCTTCGACACAGCTTTCGCTCCGATCATCAACAAAATCCGAGAACCTAACTGAACTTTACGCTGCTTTTAGTTCATAATTAAATCCATAAACAAAGCTACCAACTAACCAAGAGTGGGAATCACTGGTATGTCATCGTCTTCCTCGTCCTCTTCTTCCATATGACTTCCTCCTCCCTTCATGTCTATGCTGCTCCTCTGCAGTCTCCGATCCACAATCGTCTGGTCCTCCTGCTCTTCCGAACCCCAGCCTCCTTTCTTCCCTGAGTGCTCGATTTGACTTTGAACTCCTTTCTTTCCTGAATTTGAACTCTTAATATCGTTTGAGGCACTAGCGCCCCCAGTTTTCCCTTTTTCGTTATCTTCTGCCGTGTCTTTGAGGAAATCGAGACCCTCTACACAAGAAACAAAATGAACAATTCGGTTAAACCACAATCATACTTTCATATTAATTATATATAGTCAACAAGGATTGCCAATTTCTGTTCAAGTATCACATAATTATCCAATCAAATTGACTTAAGAAAAAAATCAAAAAACAGCAAAAAAAAACATTTCGGATATCAAAAAACATATCTATCGTTAAAATTTAAGTGGAATTGAATTTTCATCTTATTTAGTCTGAAAAACGAATATCTGTCCACTTTGTTGAACACTGATCGATTTTTAACATATTTTTGTTAGAATCCGAATTAAGACCAAAAGGTTTTTAATATGGGTTGACCTCCTCCGAAATTTTATTGTGGGCTCAAAATTGGGTGAAAAAAAAAGAATTGAAAAAACGAGTCCTACGCCATACCTTCTTACCACTATTCGAGTAGTCGGAACAATAAGACTACCAACAGTCTCATATGCAGAGTGGTCGCAAATTCATTTGCTCAACCATAGCTATTAAACACCAGACCCAACACGATACTTGGTTGTTGTTTGAGTCCAGAAAAATAACCAAAAAAAAATTGCATTTAATTTGTAACGAGGGGAACATCAGCAGTTATCCGTAAAGAGCTCGTCTGTTGGCACTTTTACCTCGTGAATAAAATGTGTTGACTGACCTTAAGAAACTTATCAAAGTTTATCTCTTACCTAAATCTGCATTTCCTCGCCGTCTTCCTGCAGATCGCTTCACTATTTTGTCCACGCCAAACATCTGAAATAGCTTTATGCTAAATTATTTCAATGTCTTGCTCCAAAGGACGAACACAAAACAAAAAGGAGGAACTGAATCTTGTGCCAACGGTACATGATGTTGCGGTCAGGTAAAACTTCAACAAACTCAAAAAACGCTTTTCGATTTTTTTGAAGGAGGATAGGAAGGCGCGATACTTTTCTCCTAAACTAAGACTTTTTAAAAAATGCTTGAATAAAAGTCATCGTACAATCTCACTGATGTCCATATCCACTATCGTCCATTTTGATCGTGAAAAATAGCCCAAACAGCAAAAACTTTTCAAACACTAACCAAATGTATTTTTGATAATATTATTTCGGATCAAAATGACGCATTGAAACAGCACGAAAAAATAAAACTGTTAATTCATGTAAGCGTTCTTTGACTTCATGTATCTAGAATCGAGCGACAAAGACCCATCCCAGGCCATAGTTGCTTTCCATTTCATGAAATCACAGGAAACATGATTGACGCTATTTAGAAAACGAGCTGGTAGCTGTTTAAGTAGCACATCATGCACAATACTCACATCGGTTAGAAAAAAACTACCAAGCTTTTTGCCGCCTTTAAATTGTTTGACCAAGTTTTCTGCTCCGCGGGCGAGTTTTTGAACATTTTTGAATATATATATTGCCGCCATTAGAAAGGTTTTAGGGTTGGTCAGTACAATTTAGGGTAAAAATGGATTTCTTAAACACCAATTGCTAGGATTAGCAGCCCTTGAAATTAACAACACTTTTGAAAATAATTACCCTGGAAAAAAGTGACTAGGTTGGAAGAAAGTTGAGCTCACAGAAATTTAAGTGAAAAAGTTCAAACCAAACTATTAAGCAAAAAATTCACTTCGGTGTTTTTCTAAACCAAATGGCAATTGAATAAAGGTAAAACGCTCAAGAAGGGCTGCAGAACTAAGAAAAACGCTGAAAACTGAAAACTTTCCGTTTATTACTGTATTTAGTCTAAAAAAACGTAAGCGTTTACACCAGTTTTTCTCGACATTGAGACACTTCTTTGAAACTTGCTACTACACTTGACTCGTTGCAAGTTTTCTTAGAGGTAGTCAAAATCCGTCGGAAACAAAAACACTACGCCATAGTTCCTTCTTGTAACTTTCACTGACGTCCTTGCAACGAAACAAAAAGACAAATTTTCAATTAACACTAATAAATCTAACTCAAATGAACTTCATCTAACATCCAAATTGACTGCTCAGATAATTTCAAGTCATAGGGAAAGGAACAACTTTATAGCAAAAAACTGTCTTCTATGCAAAAAAAAACTTATTATTCTATCCAAGTTGGGCTTGAAAAGTCATTTTCTCATCCAATTTGAAATGAACCACGCTTTACTGAGCAGCCATCCCATGCAATAAACAAAAAAACATCGGATATCAAGAGGTCAGAAACATACTGCGCAAATAGTTGTATGTGTGCGTATAACGCTTTTCATTTTCCCTGTTGTTACTCTGCCATTTCATTCTCGTTTGCACCCATTCTCCCTTCACGATATCAAAATCAATACTTTCCGAGTTCATTAACGCATTTTCTACTCTCTCTTTTGATATCTTTCCGCCACTGATTTTCGTCTTGCGTTTCAGGTTTAACGGAACTTTTTGAAGTTTGACTTGTTGATTTGGTTTGGGTAGTATATAGACTGCTTCTTTCAATTCTACCTTGTTGGATGAATGCAATGGCTCCGAATCATTTACCCAATCTCTGCAAATTGAGTAAAGAGAACTTTTCGCGTTAAATTTATCGAGATCGACAAATCTTTCAAACAGTTTCACGACACAGCTTCCGCTTTCCAGCTTCTTTTCGTATTCCGATAACTTAGAAAGACCTCTGCCTTCTATGTCAATGAATTGGTAGTTAACATGGCCCCGATCATTTTCATTCAAACTTTTATCTGGCGATAGCTGCTCGAAATTGGTGCTGTTTTGTTTGTAAACAACATCTTGTAAAAGATTCGAAAACTGAATTCTCGCGCGATCAGACATAAATCTATCTGAAACTCAAAAAGATGTCTTAACAAACACGTGAGACCAAATAGATTGAACTTGACATAGAGACCAATCAAAGCGTCGCATCAGATAATAAGAAAGATTAAAATGCTTCAGCTAAAGAGACAAAAAGTGGGAACTCTTTTCCATCACTCGACTTGAATTTTAAATTTGAAAATTTAGTCAACAGACAGTTCGAAAAAAAGTTCTTTTAGGAGCATTTTTCCATATTCGAGTTTTGGAGAAAAACATGACATTAAAGCTGTTTCAATGGGGCAGTACAACAGTGCCAAAAATGAAAATGTTGTTCAACAGTGCCGAAAAATTTTTTGAATACTATTTTTCTTCATCCCAACTCACTGACAAGTAATTATATTCAAATGGACGGAAGGTGAAAAACAAAAATGGACAATTTAATTGATGCCGCTTGTTAAACAAACAAAACTTCCCAAGCGGCGTCATAAGTTTTTCTGACAAACAATTAAATCAGCAAATTGTCAATTTTACTTCTCGTTTTCGCTCCAGAACAAAACAGTTTTCACCCAAAACTACCAACGATTCACAAAAAGAACTCAAAATTACCAAATCTTATCAATTTTTGAGACTGTTGAACACATTTTCAGTTTCGGCACTGTTGTACTTCGGAACTGTTGAATGCCCCCGTTTCTATTTCAGAAAAATTTACAGTCCATTTACCAAATGTAATTGAATAAAAAAACTAACAAACAAACCTGAATAACTGGTCAATAATTTCGGTCAGAAACATATATCTCTAAAAAGTTTTAAAAAGGAGCAGCATTTCGACGAAGAAATGAAAGCAATCAGTAACGGACAAGATATAAGCCGGACATCAAACCTCCTTCAGCTACATATCTCAGAAACATATATCTCTACAAAGTTTAAAAACTCAAACAAAAAACGAAATAACTATTCTGAACATAACTTTTACTTCATACTTCATCACAAAAAATACGTCGGTAACTTTCAAGTCATGATAGCATAAAAACGCTTTGAAAACTGAAAATTTGCTAAGTGGTGCGAAAGTGGAAAAGAGCCCAAATAAGCTTAAATATTGAATTACAAATCAGAGCCAACAAACAGTAAAGCTCAATGAACTCAGGGAAAAATTTGAAGTTGTATGTCGAGGAAAACGAGTCTTAAAATTTTGGTTTTCAGACCACTTCAGCATTACGAGCTCTCTGTTAATTATGCCTCAAAATAATTATGACGCATTGGGAGTACCAGTCAGTTTGAAATAAATTACCAACTAAAATCCTTCAATTTATAGCGCGGACGCATTTTGACTAGTATACGTAAAATTAAACTTAAAAGATCCAACCCTGTCCAGGTTCGAACCCCCTTATTTTGTTGCTGATCGCCCTGAAACTTTGAGGAACAACGATGACCGTATTCAAATTAAAAGTTAGGAGCAGCATTTCGACGAAGAAATGAAAGCAATCAGTAACGGACAAGATATAAGCCGGACATCAAAACTCCTTCAGCTATATCCATTCATAGATGATGATGGATTGCTAAAAATTGGTGGACGACTCGCAGCTGGTGATTGCCTAAACGAGAAAGCAAAACTTCAGATGATCTTGCCTCCGAACACTCATTTGTCGAGAACTGTGATCCACCATAGTCACATTGTTCAACTAAACTGTGGACTGAATGCCACTGCTGCTGACACTCGGCAGCAGTTCTGAATCATACGAGTCAGGACGATGGCGCGAGCAATAATAGGCAACAACATCACTTGCTTCAGGTTCCATAGTAGAGCAATGAATCCGCAGATGGGAGATTACCGTAGTGAGAGAGTCAACCCATCACCATCATTCTCGTGTAGAAATCGTGTAGAAAAACATAATTGAAAAAGGGAGACCTAATATACATAACTGTTGATGATAACCCCCGTTTATCATCGTCACTTGGAATCGTGGAAAATGTAGAAGCCGGAAACGATAGATTAGTGAGGGTGGTGCAAGTAAAAACAGGGAATGGAAAGCTTAGTACACGATCGATTAAGGATTGCGGAAATTGGCGATGAAAGACGATGAGAGATACATCAATAAACTCTACAAACAAAACATAATAAAAAACAAAACTCGAAAACAATGGTCAGTCATCCAACTCCTTTTCCTCATCGTTCTTCTAAGCCCATCCTTCCGACATTTCCTATGCCCCCCGATGCTTTCGACTTTCTTTTTTTGGTCACATGATCAGGGGCTGCATCAGCCAACTCCAGACGCCTGAGGATCATCGACACTCCCAATTCACCTCCGCCACCTTCTCCACAACTTCCACCTTCCCCGCAATCAATCCCGACAACTTCACACCCGCCTTCTTTTTGCTGCATCCAAATTTCATCTCCATCTGAAATATGAAAAGATTGATCAAAGATCAACGGGGGCGGCATTGTTGGAGCAAACAAAGCATTTTTTAAATGGCAAGATAATTTGTTCACATGTAAACTCAATTCAAAATGCAAGTTAACTTTCCCATAATTTATTCGTTTCATTTACCAGCATTTTATAGTCACTAAACCATCATTAATTCAATTTTCATACGATACAGTCTCTTTCCAGCTCTTGCGAAGTATTCAACGTATATTGACGCATGAATCAAAACAATGTGAACTCTAAAAAAACTGGGTACATCATCTCGATTTGATATACTAGTTTCCATTTTGAAGACTAGAGCTTTAAATAGAGCAAATATTACGGTCAAAAACGTGTCAGTTAAAATATATATTTTTTTACAACTTAGTAGCATAAATCTGTTCATTGATTTTACTTTTTGATTGAGTTTGCAATCGTCGCTTGCAACATCTTTGGTTGATTTTCCCCAATGATAAGTTTTTTACTTTCTTGCCCATGCCCATATCGACACTCTTTATCAGTCACATTGAAGCAATAACAATCTTTTGTAATTTTTAAGCTTGTATGTTTTATGAACATGAAACTGCCAGAAGTTTTCTTTTCGGATTTTTCTTAGTGTCCATACAATCGCTTTATCACCGACGGTGCCTCTCGTCAATTTAGTTTTAGTGTACGTAACGTTCAATCAGCATTGCAAGAAACAAACTGGTTTTAACTATTCTTGATTGCAATAGTCTTTCTGAGAAGGCAAAAGCAGCTTTTTGATTATATCCAGTGAGTTTACTATTATCCACATCCTTTGCTTCTTTTTCGTTGTAATCATATGGACCGACACATTCTGCGGCCACGAATAAACCGTCGATGCCTGAAATTTTAGCACCTGCAAAGCAGATGTTCTTTAGAACGTCGGCCGAAGCCTCGATTGTATAACTGCACTTTCCACTGCCATCGGAACAACTGAACTTTATGTCGCAACTTCCGTCCCTCGGTTTCTCTTCGGTAAAAGATATAAAGAACACAAACAAATTACCCTCCAAATTGGGTTCAAAATTTATGGGATAACCCTGGGAGTATTTCAGACGGAAAAATTTTGTCTGACCAGGTTCAATGTCTTTTAAATTTATCTGAACTACGGGGGGTTTTGTGGGCTTGACAACTAAATCAGACCCAGAGCCATATCCGGAATCGACTGTACTAGCCTTTGTGGTTTCAATACGACAAATTTCACTGAAAACAAACACAGCATCGTTCTCGAAATCTTGAAATGTTTTGTATACACGAACATAATTTTTATCAGATGAGTACTTTTGGAGCTCTGGTATTGTTGAATCATGGGTAACGCCTACTGCATATACATGAGTTGGGAGCCTTCGAACAGCATCTACAGCTGCCTTTTCCGCTTGCAAGTTAGAAGTTGTTTTGCCATCAGTTACGATGAAAACGAGTTTCCGGACGTTGTTGTCATTCAGCCGACTTTTCGGGTCCGTTTCCAAAATTTGTTTGATTGCAACGAATAAGTCCGCAAATGCTGTTCCATATTCATCAGCATATTCCCAGGGCCTGTCCACATATTTATTAATTGAGTTCAAATCTGACGTGTAAGGTAGTTGTCGAGGAATCTCTCCGGTGAAAGAGACGATGCCAACCCTAGTTTCTCCTGATTCGATTGATTTGTTGAACTGGCCCATCACTGCACTGATGAAATCCTGCACGAATTTATATTCGCTAAAGAAAAAAATAACGAAGCGGTAATATTTTGTTTTCCAGCTAGCACTCCAGTATGTTAACAAAAAAATTATTTGCTAACTGCAAAAGCAAACCACAACTTTAGGCACAACTACTTTAAGCAACATTTCAGCCTTTTTCAGACGATTGCTCTCAAAACCTTGCTTGCTCTTGATGTTTTTAACCTTGCTTAAGAATGAGGTTTTTAGACCGAGTGAATAATCTCCCCCTAAATCAAATTAGGAGGGAGATTGTTTTCTTGGTTAAAGTCAAATTTTTCAGACAATCAGAATAGACCATAGTAAATGAAGTCCTTACTGCTTGAATTCTAATTTAATTTAGGGGGAAATTGTTCTTATAGTCTATTTAGGGGGAGATGTTCACATCGGTCCTGTTTTTACCGAATAATGCTAGCTTCTAAATGTGAAAGAGCGACAGCAAACTCGTGATTAGGAAAAAGATTTGTTATTTATTCAGTTTAAGTTGAAATGATTTTTAGGAAACCGCGTTTTCAGTCAACGATCTTTATAGTTTAGCATCAAACTTAGGATTGAATTAATTTCAGTTCTAAAAAGTTTTTTCAGCCTCAACATTCCGCCGCTCCTGAAGTATGTTCAATTTTCAGATTGCGAAATGTACGAATAAATCTACAAAATAATTGTCTATCAGTCAGATGACATGATGAATCGTCTTGCGGAGGACTGGACGCAACGACTTCCTCCGCATGGCGAAGTGAAAAGGTGTAGCAGGGGTGAAGCTGTCAATAGGTAGGACTTGCAGGTTTTCTTTGAGAAAGTCTCCAGATGATAGCTGGGTTTCATGTCGCTTCCCGTGAAGTTGCTGGATGAAATTCAGTCTCCTGTTACCATTCAGGCGACTGTCGAATGGTCATCTCCGACTGAGAAGGTCGGTAGCAGAGTTTCGCATCAACCCTGACCTGGATAAGTAGCTAACAATATTGTATTTACGTCAGATCTGGAGAACCCTCAAAGTATCGATGATCTTTTGGTGCAAAGTTTTAGAGGTTCTTTTAGAGGTTCTGATATTAATGCAAACACATGTGTGATTACAACACGCCCCAGAATGAAGCAAACCCAACAATCATCAAATTTAGATCCAAAAACGGCAGAAATGATACAATTTTTCCAAAACGGTGCAAAATTTTTTAGGAAATATTAGTTTCGCATTTTTTCTTGGTGCAAACTTTGGTGCGATTGTTTTATTTTATTATGCTGATTATTAAATTCTGGTTGTTTTGTGCAATTTTTCTAATTTCCAAGGCTCAGATGGAAAATATAGAAAAAACCAATGTTTACTGGGGCTATCTAAGCTGCCATAAAAAGATATTCTGTAACATTCGCCCGGAAGATACATATCGACGGATAACAAAACTAAGTCTTAAGACGACTGGCTAGCGTCTAAACAGAGCTTTGCATGTTTTTCACCGTCTCTACCAAGCCAGTACTTTTCGGTGGTCTTTCTTACATCAGGCTGACAAAAACGCTACTGCTCTCCGGCTTCGACCAGAACGCTCAAATTAACTGAATTACATGCAAAATTAGTGAGCTCATGGCTGGGTCTCAGTATCCCCAGACCACGAGGTCACTCCTAAAAACAGGGCTACTACTTATCATATTACTATTGTTTTTGTTCAGTAGATAAAAATCATCATCTCCATCGAAGATGGATCAACCCTTTCCCCCAACTCCTAGCACCTCATCCTTGTCAAAACTAATCAAAATATCAGTTAAATTCAAGTCAGGACATGACAGGATGCTAAAAGTTTATGTGAGTTAATAAAAGTTTCCGTCCCGAGACCCTTCCGGATTCTTGAATCCGCCGAATCAAGCTCCTTACTCTTGATTTCTTGCTAATCCGGAAGGCTGGTTCTCACCCTTCACCGTTGTTGGCAACGGCCTTGCAACTATTGTAGCAGCACAATAGTTGCAACTCGGAACGTTCTCTGCTATTCTGTAGTTCGTTGTCGTTTTCCAATCTCGATTTTCGTACTGTTCGCAATCGCAGATAAAAGTTGTTCTGTTTTTCACTCGCTTTTTGTTAAAATGGCCGTTTCAGCATTTCTCAGAAATGTGACGTCATCATTCGAATTTTTGAAAATTTAAAATACTAGAATATTCTAGCCCTCACCGTTTGGCTAAACGTTCCAATAACGTCGCTAATCCTTCGAAATCATCAACTCGGAAGGCTTACTGCTCAAAATTCGAATCCTGCATAAATTGCATTTTGGCCATTCTGGTCGAATGTCACATACTCCCCGGACAGTCCGGTCAATGTCCTCATTGAATCGCGCAATGTTCTAAATGGTTACAGTGTCATCGAACAGAATTTACAAAATGCACGAAATTACTTTTATCTACGTCACATCGACTCACTGCAGAATATAAATGGCATCATATTACATCACTATAGCCTTCAAATTCTTTCATTAATCTGCACATTGAGGATATGACTTAAGATAAAACATATTTTCTGACTTCCAGTGTCAATGTCCCGATTGAAACTTTTTCTCCTAGATTTAAAAGGTGTTGGCTTGCAGGACAGTCCTGCCAACCAACAAGCTAAAATTATCCTACTATGCTCCTTCCCTTCGGAAATCTTGCTTGTTTATTGTCCTGAATATTCAAACTAAGAAACTTTGTGGTTAGAAAGAACAATGCAACAACCTCCCTCTTCAAGAGATTACTCAAGCCTTCCACGTCACCACAAAGTGATCAATCTTCCTAAGTGATTAAAAACAATCATGCAGGCTGGAATATTTAAATATACTCTTCCCTCAAGCCTTTCTAAATAAATAATAAGGGAGTGTCTCTAAAGCCACTTCAACTAAAACCAAAATGCAAATTTATAAATGCAACAATTTCAAAACTCAACTAAATGTTTCAGTTTTCAATTACAACTTGGTTGCTTGGTTTCTCACTTGAGTTTTTCACAAACATAAAACAATTCTGAGTTTTGACTTTTCTTCATCATTCCTTTGTTCTCTTCTTTTTTCGTCGTTTAGAAGTTCTAAAACTTCTAAATTCTTCTAATTTTCTTTCTTGCTGCCTCTTGTTTTCTCGACCATTCGTCAATGCTCCATTTCCTCCTCCTGTGACACTGACTCCGCACTCTCGGTTTCCGTGTCTTGTAGCACGTCATTGACTATCCTGACGCTGTTGGAAGCCGTCCTCCAACACTTCTGCTCTTCCACCCTCTGTTTACAGCAAGGTAGGGGATCCACATTTGATTCTCTGTTTCTACAGAAGCTGTTGTGGAGACACAACGTCACGTTTCTCTCCAAATCTTCTTTCAGCATCTCTGCCTTCTCATTTCCACTACGCTCGCTCGTCCTGGAAATTCTTTTCACAGCGGTGGTCACTGCATTCCGATGGGTCACGAAAGCTCGCTTGAAAGCTCCTGCCCCAATGTCCAGCTGATATTCACTGTACACTCTGCCATGTTTCGACATATGCTTTTTCGCATACTCGTACAACCATGCAGTCATGTTAGCTCTGAACCATGGCATCAATCGTTTTCTTGCCCATATCTTCTTCACTTCCATCGGAATGTTTAGAACTTTGCACACTGTCTCAAAAAGATCTAAATCTTTTAGACAATCTAATTTCTGCAATTGTTCTCTCGTCGGTGCCTCCTGTCTATTATTTTCTCTCACATGAGCTTCCAGCCATCGTATCGCCATCATAACTCCCACTATCACTATTGTTATGGGCTGTGATGAATCTGGTAAACCCATGGAGAGCAGCTCTCCAGAGTCCCAGATCAACACCAAATTACTACGCTTGGGATACCACCAGGTCTGCAGCAAGCAGTGGCAAGGAAACTCGTCATGTGTCAACATGATGCTCCTCCAATTGCGTTTTCCTGAAGCTTCCAGCAATGGTTCCACTTCCATCATCACTCGGTGGATTTCATCATTCTCATCTACTGCATTGTAATCTGTGACAGTTGATCCTCTCTGTTTCTGTTTTTCAAAGTCACTGAAGTTCCCGCTCACATATCCCATGAACTTCTTTCCTAGTATTGACTCCAACTCCTCTTTGGTTCTCTCTGGAACTGCTGAGAACATCTTACATAGTAACTTGTAAGACTTTTCAGACATTCTCGCCAATCTCACGCACTTTGGCACTGAGAAAGCTTGATTCACGATCGTTCTTGTACTCTTCACGTCCACAGCCACGAAATGTACAGGGTATCTGCTCTTGCACATTGGAGCCAACGTTGAACCCACCAAATATCGTGCTCCTGATGGTCTACAATAAGTTTCGCTGTGTCTGATGTTCATCTCTGTTTCGATTGCTTCCCTCCATTTTCCTATATACTTCTGCTCAGTCTGCAGAACTCCTGGGAATACTTCTACGCTGATGGCTGTGACCCTCTCATGTTTCTGTTCTAGATTCAATAGTGACTCTAAAGAACCAAACATGCTGTAGAATCCTAGTGCTGTCACTAGATTCACATCGGTTCCTCCATGGCAATCTGCTATCAGTTCCGTTTCCGTTCTTGCTTTCATCACTACATTTCCAAACAATACTGTCAACTGCTTGTGTTGTTTCTCCAGGGTTTTCACACAGTCTAGACTTCCACAAACGTGACCCTCTAGTCCACAGACTTCCGCCAGACAGCTACCAGGTTTGATCCAGTCTTCTGGTCCCCAGCCAGGCAACTCCACTCTATCTTCTCCGTTGCTCTTAGAGGCTGTTATCATCACATTATATATGATGTTGAGGTCACGCAGGTTACAGTCCGCATTCAGTTCCCTCTGTATGTCTTGTGTCGCCCGTAATATTGAGTCAGCGTTGGGACTAGGACACCATGATGGCTTCATCAATTCCCACACTGCCATCAAGCTCGTTCTCAGTAATTCATCTGAGAATCCCAACCCAAATTCCACTCTCTTGTCGGATTTTGGTACTGAAGGTGCAGTCACCTCTTCTTCCAAGACCAATCCCAATTTGGCCTGTGGATTGTTAACGCTCTTA